TCAATTTCACGGCCAAGCTCCCCTTCCTCCCCTTTCCCCCTTTCTTCCCTCTCCTCCGCCCCTCCACGTCTGCTTTCTTCACCACCCCGTCCATGAACTCCATGGCCGTGTCGTTGGGCGCCTCCTCGTCCCCCGCAAAGTCCTCCCTCAGGGTGAACAACTCCTTGAGCTCGCCCGAAGAGAACAAGCGCTTTTGCTTCGCATCCACCAGGACTCGGTTGCTGATCGCCGTCTTGAAGATCTGCCGCTGGTAGATCTTCTCCTCGATGGTCCCGGTCGTGACGAGCCGGTAGATGGTCACGGGCCGGCGTTGACCCAGGCGCCAGGCACGTTCCCGGGCCTGAATGTCCGTCTGCGGGTTCCAGTCGGGATCGAAGAGGATGACGCGGTTGGCGCCCGTGAGGGAGATGCCCAGCCCCCCCGTGCGCGTGGTCAAGAGGAAGACAAAGACCCGGGTGTCCTGGTTGAAGCGCTCGATCAGGGCCGGACGCGCCCCCACGTTGGTGCTCCCGTCCATGCGCAAGTATTCCCACCCCCGACTGCGGACAAAGCGCTCGAGCAGGTCCAGCATCTGCCGCGTCTGGGAGAAGAGCAGGACCCGGTGACCCTGCCGCGCCCACCGAGGCAACACCGCCGCCAGCACCTGCATCTTCCCCGACCGGCATACGGCTCCCATGGTCCCCTCCGTCACCGAGGCGAGGGCCTCCCTGGCCGCCGCCGGCATGACCATGCGGGCCGCCTCGTCCTCCTCCTCCTCCTCCTCTTCCTCCCCTCTCCACTCGTCCGCCCAGCCCCCGCCTGCCACGAGCCGGGCCATCAGTTCCGTCCCTTCCTCGTCCGGGCCCGCCACCAGGTCGGCGTGGTTACAGATCTTCCTGAGGACGGTGATGGCGCGAAAATGCGACGCCTTCCCCTCCACGATCAGACGGATCTCCGGCGAAGATATCACCGCCCGGTACAAGGCCCGCTGCCGGGGCGTGAGCTTGCAGAAGAGGACCTGCTCGGTCTTCTTGGGGAGGGGCAGGATGGTCA